CCAGGCAATCAGTATAGAAACAGGTTTGATTAAAGCTCTGGTAGTAGGAAGAGTTACAAGTGTTCCTCGTATCCAGTGCAAACCTTAATGAACTAAATGGACATAGTTTTATAGAAGGGAAGACTCTGACTGAAACCGTGCATTTGAGTGCAGTGCAAACCAATAGGTGTTATAAAGCCGAACAGCTAAATCAATAAACAGCTGAAGCAAAAAGCTCTTTTCCAATAAGCGAGTGATTTGGCTCAACAGCCCAAAGAAAGGGGAGCTAGTGTCCTAGCGCCGGCACAAGTGAACCTCTGTATTAAATGCAGTGTTTAATGGGATCAGAAAAGATGATCACAGAGGTTTTGAAATTGTGTTGCACATTCCTTTTTATTTATTTTCCAGCTTTTGTAGCTCGCTAGTCTTGTTAATCTTGTACTTGGGAATTCTTATTTCAGGCTTTTCCCACAACCTATAAATATACTTCCAATACAAAGTCAGACTGTCAGGTAGGTAATCACACGGGTCCAGAAGCTGGGGCTTAAGAAAAAGAGCAAGAAAGAGCAATGTTACAGCATTAGAAGACACATAAAGTTGGCAATGTTGGTCTGTACTCAATGCCTTCTCAATAACGTAAAGCCAAAAAAGCAACTTCATCCATTTTACCATGTTTTTGTTCAACTGAATCCAGAACCAATGTCTTGTTCAGCACACATTACTGGGCAGAGCCTTTTCTCAAAATCAGTGAACTACCTAAGACCAGCAGGTCTGCATTGTTTATCTCTTCACATGCTATTAATAGTTAAGGCTAAGGCCTTACTCTTCTGTAACGACTACTTCAAATACTTCAGCTAATACTATGAAGCATTACTTTTTTTTTTTTAAGCTAGCCTTTACAACAGGCATTGAAAAAGCCTCTCCAGCTGTTATCCAGAACTTCCCTGAACTCAATTTTCACATTCAATTTTTTCATTACTCTGAAAAGAATCACAAAGCAAAAGCTCAGCATATCTATTCTCACCCTCTCTGAAGAGTTATTGCCTGAGATACCACATATGGAACAGTCTGTATCTGTAAGAAGTTTATGTTACCTGATTCAGATATGCAAATATGTCAAGTTTTTAATAATATCAAGCAAACCTTTAAATGAGTTGCTTTCTGCAGTCTCTCCATGAGAATAGTTGAGCAGGTGAAAGTTGTTTGGCCAGAAAAGAATGGGAGAGCAATTACCACAGAATTTTCCCTGAAAGCAATATAAATGAATGTGTATAAATGTCTATACACGGTTGTGCTGCCACATGACAGATACAACATATGAGATAAATTTTGTACATCGGGGTTTACTGAGGAAAGATAGCTCATAAGGACCTGTCAACCCACGTACGACACGATGTGTGTAGCATTGATTCTGTCATTTATATTCAAGGAAACCCAGCTTGAATTTCCCGACTAGTGCAAAGAATAAAATACTGTGACTACCTTTGCTTACTACATTTGTGAAATAGCAGGTGTTTTGCAAGCCTGTAGGTAGATAAAGTCAATGAAATTATATCATTCTGAATCACTATAGTCCATTTATAACAAGTTTGCTCTGTAGATTCTTGAGCCTGGCAGGTGCTGTTGCTGAAGTAAGCAGAATTGCATAGTGTGCTCAGGTCACCTGTCAACTCAGTGACAAGCCAATGCTTTAAGCTCAAGATCTCCTGAAACTCTTGATTTTTAAGAGGCCAGCTGAATGCTAGGGTCTACTGTGGCATTGCACACGCATGGTTGTTGACAATTCTGGGGTAAAATAAAAGCAACAACATAGTTAAGAAGTAGTTCCAGCTAAATAAGAGGCTTTAGAAACCAGATTTATTTTTTAAATCATGAAACTGAATAATTATGCTATCAAATAAAAATATATCACCATCATTTTCTAAAATAAAGATGCACAGAGCTTACTGTTGCATTTTAGAGCAACAGCACCATATGGGAGAATCTAGTTCAGTCTTCTCAAGATAGCTGAAACTGCTCTCTGCAGTAAGGTGTAGGTGTCTGCAAATTACACAGCTTCTTGAGTCAGTGCCGATCTAGATTGCTCCATTCATAATTAGACTTTTGATTGGTACCTATCCAGATCATCTCATTCATAGTGTGATTTACCGGCAGGGATGGAGACAGACAGGCAAAGCAGCAATTGAGGGAATACCAGAAGAACTGCTTCACATGACAGAAGTATTTCCTATGCCTGCTATTGTCAGAAATTCCTTAGGCAGTTTGCTTTGCAAAGCCATTGGCCACTGAAACTGTCCTCTCTGCAGGTGGCTCCAGCCCAGTTTAACATCAGAGTTGTATAATACATGCCTATTGCATCTGGAAACTAGCAAACCTAAATACCTCTTGAGTGTTTAAGTTGTGGTTACTTCAAAGACTTCAAGAATCTCAAGGGTGCAGAGTGCAAATGTTCAGGGTTCTGTGTTTTTCTTAAATATCTGCAATTTTTTAACCTCAGCAAAAGTCATATAAATGTAAGTGAAGAAGCCTTTCAAGTAAAGACACTGCAATAAGCAAAATTCATGCTCCCAAATACTAGAGCACATCATCATACCCTGGCTATTTCTTTCTCCCCTATATGCATAGAGGGAGACAATAGCTGAAATGTTAGCCTGAACTCGAGGGAACTGAAGGTAATCGACAGCAGCACCAGGCTCTGTGGTTTTGTGTGACATGAATTAAACTACAGACTACGTACAGTGTCAACTACTTGCAGTCCAGCTGTGTATTTTAAAGGACAACAGAAACAATGAGGAATATTTTGTGTTCTACAGAACAAATATTTAAACCTCTTTTACCTGGATAACGTTGTTGCCTAAGCTGTTTGTTTTTTAAAGGTTTTAAAGCCTCTCTATTCTACTTGGTTCTATAGGGCAAATTGTGTATGTTATATGGGCCTAATGTAGTATCAGATAAAAATCAACCATTACATGATATTCTTGTCTCCATGAATATCAGAGCTATAAACTTAGAGAAAATTATCTCCCCTTCTTGTGTTTCAAATGAGAAAATTGCTAGTACTCAAGCAACATTAGTTGGCAGTTAAAAGGCAGCAAAGCAAGCTAAAAAAAAAAATTATTTTCACTAGCGTACAGCTAAGTTCAACTGAGATGGTATTAAAAAACTAACAAGAGGGAGGGGAAGCAGTTCTTCCTATCTCTTTGACCAATACAAAAGCACTGGACACCTGCTGAGCTGTTCAGGAAAGACAAAGAAAAGCAGTAATTCTTGAACAAGAGGTTGACACTGCAGATGGCTTTGCAGAAATTTAACACTTTGAGATAAACTTCTGTTTTTACCTACTGTTTTTGCTACAGAATCTTCTTATTATTTGCGAGTAAGTTGTTCACCTGATTTTTGTCCTTGGCAAAGGAACTGCAACTGGTGATCAACATCTCTTCAAACATGTTAAGAGAGATAGTAAATTCTTTGAGAGATTCAGAAAGAAATGAGCCAACCTAGCAGCTTTATAAGGGAACTGAAAAACTGCCAATCTTAAACTTTACTATTTAGAAGTCTCCATTCCCCTTAGATACACTCATTATTTTCACCTGCACATGACAGCTTTTCAAGCCCTCATTCAGTCTATAATCATTATGAGGTAGCCTTGGCTTTCTATATTGAAAAACACTAGTCATAAGGTTAACACATATCCAATTTTTTTGTAACAGAAAAGATGTTGCCATTTGATAGAATATTTCATGATTTATTTTCATATCTGAAACTAGAAGTCTGCTCTAAAATCATATGTAAGAAAGAAACAAAAGTAAAATTTTATGGTTTAGGGGTTTTTCATAAAGCAGAAAAATATTTTTTAAAACAAACAAACAAACATGGTCTCAACTAGTGCACCAAAATAGGCAATAAGTGAAGAGAGCTGTAGTCTACACATATAATATTTTAAAAACTAAGCAGCACTGCCAAGGTTTGTGAAAGGAAACAAGGAAAAGGGGAGAAAGGAGGGGAAAGGGGAGAAAGGAGGGGAAAGGGGGGTAAACTAAGACTGAAGTACATGTAAACAGTTCATCCTCCATTCTACATATGTCTTCTATAAAGTCAACTTTATGGAAAATAGAATTGGAAGCCTAGGGTTAGAAAGATATAAACCAGATAATGTGCCTCAAAAGACAAATTTTCAACCTGATACAACCTGATAAAACCAGAACTGGAATTCACAGACTTGAAGAGAAAATGGGGAAGAGTAACCTGAAATTTTGATTATTTCAGCCTGTCCAAATTGACATTTTATCTGAATAGCAACAGTTCTTCCAACTTAATTCATCATCAGTCCATCATTTGCAGGTCTCAGACATAGCCAGCAAAGAAACTAGAAAATACAAGGGTAGCTTCAAATACATGAGAAAACATTGACTTTTCTTTGAAGGCAGCTTTGAAATACGTTTGCTAAAAAACACATCCAATTTATATCTCACTGAGTCATTACATGGGACTGCCATCACCAGGTTCACAAATGTTTTTGAAGTAACAAAATGAGGCATGCATGTTAAAACATTTTAAAGTAACACTGTAATGAAAAGAGGAAGTGATTAGTATTAAGCTCCCTCTGTACGCAAAGCGGAGAAAAGGAAATTCACAGAAAGACCCAATATTGTTTACAATAGACATATGAGCGGAATTGCCTATGAGGGGCTCTGACTGCAGCCTCCGAACAAGGTCTGTTTGAGGTAGCCTCTCTCTGTGAAAAAGACTGTACCATGAGCCCCATTTTGCAGCCACACAACAAAACAAACAAGGAATCCCTGACTAGACTTCGGGTGTGAGAATTTTGCTTTGGCTGGAAAGCAGCAGACTGAAGGAGGCAAACTCCCTGCAAAAGCATACTAGCATAATTATTTAACAACAGCTTACATAAAGCCCACAAAAATAAAGGCACCCCTTTAAGGGCAGGGTGTTTTCTTGTCATGCTAGGCTGTATTTTCCCTGTCGGCCACTGAAGTCAGAGGTACGGAGCTGTCTCTTACCTGAGCTGATCATACTGTGCATTCTTTGCTGAGCCAAGAGCTGTTCACGTCCAGAAACCCCATCTGAGGAAAAACACGATTCACTCTCGTAAATTGTCTGCAGCATATTCCAACTGGTCTGCACCTCAGCTACACGAGAGATTCATCGCCGCACTTGCACAGGGGCGTCGGGCACAACCCTCTGCAGCCCTACCTCCTCCAGTGAGGGCTGCAGGACAGCAGGCTCCGGCAGCTGGCAATGTTTAGGCGTTCGCACAAGTATCTGTCGGGAGCGGGGACAAGCCCCAGACCCCTCCCGGCGGCGCCCACCTGCTGGAAGGGGCCGCGAGCGCGCGGGGGCTGCGCGCCGGTGGCTTCCAGCAGTTGCGTCCGGGCAGCTCAGGGCAGGTGGAAGACGAAAGGAAGAAGTACCTCAGCACTTCGGGGTTTCGGGGAGGGTAGTGGGGAAAAAAGCCTCTCAAAAACCATCAAACCGAAGGAGCCCCTTTTCCAGGGAGCGGGAGCCCCCGAGGGTTGAGCCGGAACCACCCCAGCCCGGGCCAGCGCTGCCGTCGCCAGCCCCTCACCTCTCCCGGCCTGGCAGAACTTGGCGGGAGCGGCAGCGATCACTCATTTGCATTTGAATCGGCACCCGCGCGGCCCCGCGGCGGCAGGGCCTGAGCCAAAAATAGGTCAAGCGTGGCAGGGTGATTGGAGCCTGCATTAATGCGTTTAAAAATACCACAGCAAACACAGCTGTCCAGTCCCTGTCTCTCAAACCGCCGCCCGGCCTCGAGGGCCATTAACCCCTTCGCCCGGCCCAGTCCGATCCGGCGCGGCGAAGGCAGGCAGGGAGGGAGAGGAGGCAGGGAAAGGGGCAGAAACGCTCCCCGCCCGGGACTCGCACCCGTCTCCCTCCTCGCCCTCCCCAAGGGAGCATTTTGTGAAACGCGAGCAAAACGCCGCGGCCTCGGTATCGGGCCTAAAATAACCGCGGGCGGTCCTGCTGGCGGTGTGGTTTCTGCCTCGCCCACGCGCAGCCATCCCGCTGTTCTATTTTTGCTGCCCGTTTCTCTGGCTACGCTGGGGTTGACTCCGGCGGGGGAGCTGGGCTGCTCCCTGCTGCCTCCTCGACCTGCAGCTGCCTCGGGAGAGGCGATTTCTGGAGTTAAGCAGGCAGGGAGGGAGCAGAAGGCAGATGTTAACGAGGGACCAGGTTCTGTGCAGCCTTCCCATATTTAGCATGCTCGATACAATACTTACAGCAAGTCACCCGCTGTGGCACAGCGTGGCAGGCATGCTTACCAGCTACGTACTAGTCCGCTGACCTGCTAAAATTTGGAGAGAGGCTGAGCAGCCTCACTCTTATTTTTAGAAGCATTAGGCAATTTGTGCGGCGTCTTTCTCCGTTTTACAGGATGATGTGGTTCCAGTAGAGCAGCTTTACACAGTGTATCAGGCAAGAGCACCTTGCTCGTCTGGGTCTTGGCAGGTTTCATGCTTGGCATGGGAATTTCACTTTTCACAATGTTTCGAAAGTCGTGTATCTTGTCGGCTGATTAATATACCTACATGTAGCTTAGTTTCATTTCACCATTAAAGACGGTACTTCACTTCTCTGACTCCTGCTCTGCCTTATAGCACTTGTTACATAGGTATTCAAAGCCTGTCACTACCTACACGCATGATACAGCAGCCTGACCACTCACCTACCAAAATTACGAGTGCCCTCCCATGTCCCTGTCCCTGCTCTAGGGGAGAAACGTTGGCCATAGGGATGTGATTCCTTCCTGTAATCAAGAAGTCAATACAGAGGTTATCTCCGACCTTTCCAGAATCCACCAAATTCTCAACTATCTCCAGCATTTTTTTCTCCTAAACGCACAAGAATTTGCCCAATACTTGAGGGTCAGTTCTGCCTTTTGAAGAGGACTATCTGTCTGCTCTTCAACTAACACAATAGATCGTACCCAAGGGCAGTAATTTTTTAAAAACTTCTCACAACTTCGTTACCCAAAAAGATATTCACAATAAGAAAGTACTGCGACACTCCTAAGAGGTTTGGATACTTGATGTCACCTGGGAGTTCTGTGCATCAAGGCTCTTCCATCATCCCAAACCTTTACTTCCTCCACCTGCCAAATGACCTGGTGCTACTGAGAGCTAGGATCTACTCCCCAGATAGCTTGAGACAGCAGCAGCTGACAATGGTCTTTCCCTGCAGGATCATCAAGTTAGCACCCACTGCTGCTCAACACCCTCCCCGCCTCTCCCCTCCCCCTAGTTTTCCTGAGAGAGCTAGAAGGCCTCCTGGGGAAGCAATGAAGCTTTGCAGACAGCATACAGCCAGCTCTGAAAAGGGGCATGGACACATGGACACAGGTAGGATGTTGCAGTGCAAGACAGGGGATGAGCATCACTTGTAGCGCTGTCCTGTTGACAGCTGGCAATTTGGTGAACATTTTCTCTTGAAAACAAAAATACCCAAATGTTTTGTGGTAATTACCCTATGATTCTATACTCAGATAGCACTTACATGGTACAGGGCAGAAAATGTTTAACATGAGTGCAGGGGGGACCACCAGTAGAAACAGAAGTCTTCTCTAATGCAGAAAAAGCTTTTTAAAGACAGAAGTAAATAAAAACATGGAATTGCTTCTGCCCTTGAGCCAACCAGAACATGACTCTGTTTAATGATTCAGCACCTCAAAATAATCACGTCTTGTGTTACAGGGAAACACTGGAGGAGTAAGTTAAAAACAGGTCAAAACATGGGAAATTGTGGAGTGTGGGATCCCTGTATTAGGTACCCATATATGCTTGTAACTTCATATATATGCAGCTGAATTTTTAAAGATAGCATTCACAGCTGTAAGTGACTTCAAATACCTCAGTAACTAAATGAAAGCAAACTATATTCAAGAGCAGAAAACGTACATTTAGATACTTTGCTGCAAGCGTTCTTAATTTTAGCATACGTATTTTATACTGACAGACAAACTATCCTGTTAGCTAATTCACAGACCGTAATAACTGTGGCATTGTGCTTTATTTCTTAGCTGATATCTAAAAATTACATAAAAATATTTTACTTATGAAGTCAGTCACCCAAAATGTAGGGCTTTTACAAACTGAATTCTTCCTACTTGCTCCAATGGATTATGGGTCTACTTTGGTACATGCTTAGCTTTAAAGCCTGTGTGTAAATCCATCCCTTTTCAACATCATATTCAAGCATATGCTCAACTTCTATCGATCACAACAGAATTTAGGCACAGAGTTAAACACTTCACTGAGTCAGCCCAGCCTTTAACTGCATGATCACATGTTTAAATAACTCCTTTAGCGTCCCACAGGGGAAGGATAAAGGGTTTATGTCTTAAGAAAATCTGGGGTTTATTTTTAAAGCTATGGATATTATGAGGTAACATTTTCATACAGAAACATGGGAGGGGTTGTCCTCTTTTTTTCAAAATGCATTTCCTAAACTTGAAGAACTTTAATGACACTGGAGGCAAGAGTAAAGTGTTGAAATGATTTAGTGCTGCTGAGGTGACTCTAAATGCAATGAGCAACATTACAGAAAATGTAAGGCATGTTAGTAGAGCTGAGATCTCATTACATGGGATTCACAATGTGTTTCTCTTATTTTCCTTCTGAGTTGTTACATAAATATAAGGAAATTAAATCTGGAAACCACATTACTACAACATTAAGACTGAGAAGTTAAGCACTCAAATTAGAAGGAGCTAAAATTTCTACTGCATCAACTGCAGCATTATAATTAAGTAGTTCTTTTCTTACTTTCTTTTTTAAGTAGAAACAGTGTATTACTTGTCTTTAGCATATTCCATTTCTCATGTTATTCTGGAGCGTAGCCTTCGTTAATATCAATAGCTTAGTTTCAACTTCTGCAATTTTCTTACTTGTAAATTAATTCTTGCATAGATTTTTCTACCATATTGCTCAATTGTGTCATGTAATTATTAAAGACAAAATTAAACAGATATGCTTCTAGTTGTATGCTTAAATGATGATACTGCAGTCTTACAGGTGTCCCATTCAACCTCCCTTTAGAGCCTTTTTCATTTGACAAGTGAAAACGCAGATAATAACACGCTTCAATATCAAACAACAAAGTGGGAATTAAATTAAGGTTGTATGGGTAGTATTAAATTTGGCCTATTTCAGTAGTGAAGCTTTGAGTTCTAATCTCTGCAGCCTAAAGAGCTCCTAACTATTTTTTGTATATCTAATCACTGGGATTAAAAGAAAAAAAAAAGAAAAAAATTAACTACTGTATAGAACAGATGTTTCTATAACCACAGGTCTTGGATACCATTAGTACCATGTGCAATCCAAACATCCAACATAAATTACTACAGTATATGCTAGAGGATTAACTAGGTTAACGAACAGCAGAAGACTATTGCCACAGATGGTTTGGGAGCAGAAAGAAATTAGGAGAGACGCTCAAGTGGTTTGGTTCTACTCCCTGCTGAGACTAAGCAACCATATTCCAAGCCCTTGGGGGAGTTAAAATGGATCCCTGCATTCACATGCTCTGGTTGTAAAGATGTAGCGAGAGTAAGGCTCTGATCAGTGTTCTGTGTAGCAAGCCTTTGGCGTTGCCTGTGCAGGAAAACATGTTGCTTTTTCTTTGCAGTGCCATGAAACCATGTGATGGGCATCTTCTCAGTGAGGAGAAAACTGCTACTCTAAACTGTTTAAGCTCAATTCAAGCTTCAAAGGAATTTTCTGGGACAAAGAAAAGCCTGCCTGTAGCTTTAGGGAATTTTGTGACAAACAATGGGAGAATAAAACTTTACAAAGTTTTGAGCATAAGGAGCACTGCCCTAGATAAATGTATGGGTCTTTACCATCTCTCATGTAACAATACAGCCAGCCTTGCATCTTTCTCATGCAAATCAGCTCAGGGTTTTTAGAACTAGCTGATGATTTATCACTTCTTTCTCCTCTTAAAATATGCCTTTCCATTCACATAAATAAGTCTCCTAGAAATTAAGTCCTAGGTTCTGGACAACACCTCAGCAACACATACTTTATTATAAGCACAAGGTTTATGTTATGCATATGCGTAAGGGCTTCATAAATTCAAAGGTACTT